GAGAGAAAAAAAAACAAAAAGAAAAGAAAAAAAAAGAGGAGAGGTGGGGAATGGAAGAAAGAAGAGAAATGGAAGAAGGTCATTCGACCGAATTTGGCCGAATGCAGAGGACATGAGTTCGAGCTTCAAACTCAATTTTCGACAAAACCACCAACACACAAAGAGCTAGCTGCCCTGGCCCCTGGCCGTAAAAGTCGTGAAGAAAAACGGAAGCCTGTGCACAAACTGCTTTACACAAACGAGGAGGTGGCTCATAGGAGCTTTACATTTTTTTCTTTACAGTTCGCGTCCAGTGCCGTCCACAGATCACAGGATCGAATCGAGCTGGGAACCAAAGGCGAACGAGCTGGAACAGTGCGGCGGTTGCTGCCAAGGCCAAAGGCAGGAAACGGCGGACATACAGATGCAGAAAAGGACGGATTTGGTTTTGCTTCCGTTTGTGGCCGACTCTTGCAGCGACCAATAACATAGCAACCCCTCGCTACATTTCAATTTGCAACTAAGCCCTCGATACACTTCCTCCCTCGAAACACAAGTGGGCTACGGAACAAAATTTTAAATTACTACTACCAACGGCTTATGGAAACAAGTCCTAATCATAAGCAAAAACCTACCGGTGTTGGAAGCCCTTCCCCTCCAAGCAAATGTCTCTCTCTCTCTCTCTCTCTCTCTCCTTCGCTTCCCCTCTTGCGCCCGCAAGCGCATGCACCGGCTTTTTCGAGAATGGATGGCCGATGTGGATTGGAGGAAGAAGGACCACGTGATCTTGCTCTATGTATGCGGTTAAAAGTTTAAAGTTTGAAGCCGCATATATCCTGGCCGTCGACGTGATGAAGGAGCAGGTCGATCCACGGCTGTCGTATCTGGGCGCAGGGGGGTGACAGTGACACAAAGAGACGATGGCTTCGCTGCGGCTATAAATAACTACTAGTAATTATTTCGGGCCTGTGACCTACTTCGGTACCCAATAGGAGGCCTTAGTGGCCCCTTCCACTGGATATGCAATACTATGCGTAACCTTTTCCCGGACATTGCATGGTTGCTGTTCTCAGTTTAGTTATTTCACCCTAAGAGGTATTTGAAAAAAAAAAAGAACAACTCATAAAAACCGTCAATAGCATTAACACGTTACTCATTCCTCCCTCAGTCCCTAACAAACTCCTCAACCCTCATCTCCTCTCTCTCCTCCCTCTCCTCTCTTCTTCCGGACTCCTCTAAAGTTCTTCCCACCCTGGCAGAGCGAAAGCCCGACCTTGCTGCCTGTTTGAAGGACAGGTTATTCTACAATTTCTACTGGATCTCAGATTTTCACCGTGTGACTTTTTGTTGGGTACACGATGGTACTTAGTATCCAACAGAACTCCAGCACCTCTCTTCCTCGCGCTGTTCGAGACATGCGAGTCATTGCGACATGTCGCTGGTCGCTGTTCACATATCATATCAGACTCCGTGTTCCTCAATGCGTCCAACGTACGTGAGTCTAAATGGCAGCATGATAAAACAGGCATGAGCCCAGTTGATATTTTCTATTCCTTTTGACTTAACCTTGATCTAACTATCCACTATGCTAGCTATTTCTTTTCGCTCCGCCTCCGTCACTTCCATTCCAGCACACTGCCGACATCCGCTCATACCCCGCTCCAGCACACTGTGACTGGATGCTGCCAGATTTCCATTTTCTGCCTAAGACCTGAATAGAACGCCCGCTCATTATAGCTAGCTATACTTGGGACAACTTTCAGCCTAGTCATTGTACAGGGACGCTGGAACCGATTTCCAGCAGGTGTAGCTCCCCACCAATAGATGGAGCCTTCGACGCCGGGGCCTACTTACCGGGGATGCTCTTATCACCTCGTTAAGTAGGTTTCCCGAATACGAACAGCAATACTTCTATCCACTTCACCGAGGATGCCCCTACTACCACATTCTCCCAAACTCGTACTCTTACTCCAATCCTCAACGCCTACGCCAATAACGTCGTATTCTGCTCTCGCTTTTCCGCTATTTCCTCTCTCTCTCTCTCTCTCTCTCTCTCTCTCTCTCTCTCTCTCTATCTATCTATCTATCTATCTATCTATCTGTGTGCCCTTGTGCATGTCTCTCTCTCTCTCTCTCTCTCTCTCTCTCTCTCTCTCTCTCTCTCTCTCTCTCTCTATCTATCTATCTCTATCTATCTATCTATCTATCTATGTATATATATATATATCTGTGTGCCCTTGCGAATGTGTCTGTCTCCATCCTCTTTAGATGCAAGCACGGACATACGCAGGTAAATCATAAATGTGATTGGCCTCTCCGTATGCACCCCCTGAGTTTTTTTTATACCAACAAAGAACCGTCTGCGTAGAGAGAAAAAAGACACCCGGCTGCTGACGACCTCTTTAGGCAGACAGGCTAACAGGAGCGGCAGGGACGTCCTGATCCTGATGCAAACAACCCTCCGACAAACAGCCAGACAGATAGAGACACAAAATGGCAGAAGCAGCCGGGTCATCCTTTCAGGTGGTTGACCCTCACAGTGAGGACATTCAAGATAACGGGCCGACATGAGGTCCTACCAGGCAGGTTATCATTATCGTATGATCCATCACCCAGGGCCAGGGGGTTGCCACAACGGACAGACAGGTTACGATGGGGCAGTGAAAGTCCTTGCGCGACTGATGTTCCAGGCCTCCAGTTCTGGATTTTGGGGCTCGAGTGTTGGACGTCAAGACTCGAGTTTCCAAGCTACAGGTAAGGGGTTCCGTGGCAGATGGCAGATAATAATTATAATTATAATTATATTATTATTATTATAATTCCATAACTTACAACTGTGTCGAGTGTAACTCGAACACATGCACAGAAATGAACCCGTGCTGCAGCTTTGTGGAGCACTCAGTTTACTACCCGTGTGGAACATTCAGCTTACTATCGTCGAAGATTCAGCTCACTATCGTACGGTACTACGGTGTGCACGGGGGGTGCGCGGATGGGAAGGAGAAAGCGAACCTAAATCGGTGGACTCCTTCAAAGAGAGTAGCATTATTACGTAGTATCGTATAATTAACCATGACGTGTGAAATGCTACCCCCGCAGTAGACGGTTGGAGGAGGACGGCGATGATCGATCACGTAACGTAAGCCTAACTATGGCCATGATGCGGTATACGTATATAATATGATATGATGTAGTGGTTGACGTAAGCCTGACTGACTGATTTGGGTGAAACGAAAACCGGGGGGTGAGGGTGGGGCTTTCCTTCGTTCGACTACGTAGATAGAAATTGGCCCAAGGCGATGGGCCACGCCTGCTACCCGTCTTCCCCCGAATAGAGCGCCMGGTCATTACAGCTGTACTTAGCGCAGCTTTCAGTCTAGGTACAGCGACAATGACCGAGCGTTCTATTCGGTTGAAGGCGGCAGCCTCATATCCCCCTGATCCGCTGCTGTTCAGATCAGATCTGGTGCCGTTTCACCTCAGATTCGGTGCTGTTTTCCTGCTATTGCTACCGTGCATCTTGTGCAGATGAACCCTGAGTTTGCTTTATGAACTTTTCCACAATCTTGGCCACCCTACATCAGGCTTGCTTGATGTATCTTTCCGCCCAACGGCGTTGGCGCAAGCCTGAGGTATAGGGGTAAAACCATGATTGTGTAAACCGGGGTGTAAGTGAGGGAGGGTGGGTGCTTTCCTCGTCAATGTGGAGCCTCTTTTCACTTTGCTTGACTAGAGTGGCCCCCCAAGTTGATGGTGATGATGATGACGATGATGATGATGCTGATGCTGATTGGCCACGCCGGCGCCAGGTAGCCTTGACCCGGCTTTGCTAATCCCAGAGGCGCTGCTGTTCCCGTTGGCACTGCACCTGGTGCAGATGAACCTTTGCCGAACTGCAGCCATGTCGCCAATACCCCCACATCGTGTGTGCTGCCAGACTTCGCAGATATCGCAGGCGACCATCCTCTCCCCGTCGTCGTCCTTAGTCCCACAGGGACAATCGACGACCCAGGAGTCATTGCCGCCCTCGTACCTCCACTCGCTGGCGATATCCGCGTCCACGCCCTGAACCCTCACAGTGCTGCCGGACTCGATGTTGCCGAACAGCAGGTCGTCGTCTTCTAAATCTGCCAGCTCCACGATTGTGGTCACTGTGAAGCCCTCCAGGATGCGGTAAGTGGCCCTGAATGCCCGTTCGGCCTCCCTCTTGAGATCGCCCACGGCGGAGTGTGGAGGGAGGACCACCAGCTCCGCAGGAGGTGCTCCTCGGCCTGGGCGTTCCCCCTCCTCCTCCCCCTCCTCCTCCCCGTCCCCCCCGGCCCCCCCGCCTCCTCCCACTCCTCTGCCGTTGCTTCTGCTTCCAGTGCCTTTGCTCACTACATAAGCATCCTCCTCGACGTCGTCAAGCACGACCACACACAAGATCCGCAACATCACGTCGTCGTCCACATCCCAGTCACTCATCAAGGAACGTCTCGTCTTCTCACCGTGGTAGTTCTTCACGAACTGCTTGGTGTCCAGTATGATCCGAGTCGCCCGGGGCATAACGCAAAGCGCGCTGTTGGTGGTCCCCCTCTTGGCCGGCTTGTAGTTTTCCAACACGTGTTTATATATCACGACGATGTCGCGCAGGACTTCCGCTCTGCCGATCTCCACCATTCCCCCGTGATCGGTCCCGTAGTAGCCGCCCACTCTGGGCCCGCCGTTGGATTTGGGCCCAGCCCCGCGATGACCGGCCTCCTGCTGCACCTCCTCCAGGCTGTATTCCAGTACCTTCGTCTGGGCGTTGACGGCTCGGCGGACCACATAGTCGCCGACAACACGGTTACCTAAGGACTTGAGGACGAAGTCCAAAAGGCCTGTGTCGCCGATATGAAGGCGTGCAGCGTCTCTCACCTCCTGACGGGGGAGCCATTGTTTTCCGCAGCTTCGAAGGGCGTCCACGATGACTTGAGTCGCGAGTTCGAGCCTCTTCACGGACCATCTGCAGGGCATCTCCCCCGCTTGGGCCTTGGCGCCCC